GTTGTCGTTGAAGAATGTCGTTTACGGGGATGGCGGAGGTCAACCGATACCGTGTTGTATACAGAGCGGTTCGGAGGAGCGTTGTGCGATCGTTTTCGTCGGATCGACCGCGCAGCGTTACGAAACGGTACGCGAACGGACGGGCTCGCCCCGAAAACACATGTGTACCTCTACGCCAATAGCGCGTAATACGTTTCTCGTTCGCAACGACATCGACTCGATGTTTACGAAAAATCATTTGCGATTGCGATTCGAGCGGGTTTCAAATTTTCGAATAGATTGCCGCGCGTCATTATACGCTCCGACCGCTGCCGTGCGTTTCCCGCAGTAACGATTGGACGGTCGTGTGGACGATGAAATCGTGTTCGCGGTAGAAAACCGTAGACAACCGTCGATCTCGTACGAAAATATAATCGTGCAAAGTTGTTTTTCTTTTTACGGGTACGCCGAGAACCGAAAATATCATTATTGGCCGCGTACAATCGTAAATGATAACAAATTACTTTTCCGTTTCTAAACATCGTTTTATCATTTAAAATATTCCTATGCCGTTTGTTGTTTGTCTTTTCACTTTTCACTCTCCGCACAATAAAAAAAAAACCATTTGTCACACAAACATAACACAAGACACAGATATGTTTCGGTCGCAATGTGTTCGACCGTATTGTTTGCATTATGTTTTGATGCTCTCTTCGTTTTATCGATAAAATCGAATTTCTTTTGACATAACTTATTGGATGACGCAATGTAGTAATTATATGTCTTCTCGGTTTTCAAGTTCTGACGAATGAATAACAATGGCAATAAAAAACTTCTACTCACATCGAATGTTTTCCTAATGTGCAAATGTATTATTCAACACGGGCATGAATTTGAATCGACTGCGTTCAAGTGACTATATCGGTCGAGCATACAGCTTTAAACATTTCATAAGTGTCGATTTAAGGTGGCTCGTGTATTCGAAAATTTAAAATACGTTATTCAACGAAAGGAGAGCATCCGTGGGTCTCGATTTGAAACAAATTAATGGTATTGGACTGGTATATTCGTATCGAGAGTGTTGTACCAATATTACTATTCAAATCACACGTTGAGACGATAAAAGCATCATATAGGCATGCGAATGGCAACGATGAACAATAAATAATAATTTATTAATATTTAAACTTACTATGAATGTCTTGAAATGTTTTGAAAACATTTTTGAAGATAACAGTCGTTTGGAATTTTGGGTGTTAAGCACTCTCTACACCCTATAGATTTCCAATTCATGTACAATACAATATGTTCGAATTAACCATCAACTAACTACTTTTACTGACCTAAAAACCAGTTAGGTATCATTTTTTTGAAAACAATTAATACAGAATCGAAAGTTCGTAAAAATATGTTAAGCCTATAGTACAGTTTGATATTTATAATAGGCTCAAATGCTAATACTTAATTGTACGCTCCGATAAATTAAAATAATTTTGTTATCGTCAGTTAAAATAATAATTTAATAAGTGAGTCTAGTGTTTTAATTAATCTAAATTAAGGTTGAAACTTAGAATGGATTCATGACCATGGAAAATAAAATAATATAATTTTAAATAATTCGTAGTTGAGGTGTAAAAAATAACACAAACAAGAAAAAACAAGAAATTTAATTCCGTCCAATATGATATTATAATGTAATGTAAAAAGTTTCATTCTTATTATTTCATATTTATTCATGATGTACCAGATATTTTTCGCGGATTAACCAGTAATTAAAATAAATATAAATAATGCGTAGAACATTCTCTCGTTAAAATTAAGAAAATATACAGAAATATTTAAAAAGTAAAATGATTTGATTATTATTGTGCGTGTAAATTATTGAAAATTTTATAATAGTGAATTTGAAATGCTTAAGAAACGCTGAAAATCGAATTAAAAACACTCAATTAGCATAACGTGTTAGTTTGTTCTCTTACGTGTAAACACTAAATAATCAGAAAAATCCGTTTCCGTCGATGACAAACAATGAGTTATATTTACGTTACACCTCGTTGACCTAATAATAACGTCACGTGTACGAAATCCGTTGATGTACACCATGTCAGAACTCAATGGTTTTATGAAAATGTATTGCCATTTAAAGAGATCTCGTTATTTTTGGTCGTAACGTAGATAATACTACGACTGAAAAAAGTTCCAAGTTAAATGCCATGTTCGTACTGCACGTGAAAAGAAATCGAATTCTAAAAAAAAAAAAAAAAAAACAGTGAAATATCAGTCATCTCGGTTCATAATATTATATGAAATCTGAATGCGTAGTAAATGAAATATTATAAGTTATAATCGTACAACATGTTGGACATAGAAAAACGATCCGGATTCTTCGCAAACAAAAACGGTCACCACATTCGTATATAGTTTCGTCCGGGACGTAAGATTGACATGCTTAACAGAACGTCTTCGTGGTCACTGTCGTCTTAACGAGATCCTTGAAAATGACATACTGCGTTAACAGGTTTACAATTTAGTTAGTGTCCGATGTCAGTTCGTTAGATCGATTCCTAATCGTTTGGAAGTGCGTCTGTTGAATATAATCATTATTGTTTCTTTTGGTATACAGTCGTTGGACCTACAATAATGCAGTGTCGTCATGTTGTTCGCTCAGTACGGGTTCCTGTATAGTGCCGGGCTGAAGGACGATTCGATGCATTCGGCCCAGGGTTCGGTACTATTAAATAGTACAAATAGAATATGCAATAGTATAAAAACAAATTTTGTTTTCGTACTCGGAAAACCACAAACATTATGGTTTTCAGACGGCCGTCGCGAATCGTGTACACCTATTTTCGTATCGGAATGCGTTTATGAGATATGGCTTTGCGCCGCAGCGGGGTCTGTATTGGATTTTCGTCACATTTCTAATTCCGCAAAAAAAAAAAAAAATAATAAAAAACCCGTTAGAATTTAGTTTTAACGTTTATCGAGGTAAAACATTGACCGGATATTCTATTGTATCTGCAGAACACACCACGGTGTCAGACACGTGTACCTGCTGTATACGTCATTCGCGATTTGTATTTTTACGTACTCGATTTTTCGGGCACATCCGATCAACCGATTTGTTATGAAAATCATTTCCGAAACAGTGACATAAAAACACGCGTTTTTTATCGACACTGCGGTAAGCACCGAAATATAGTAAGCGTGTGTTCTCGGTCTGCCCGCGGATTCGACATCTGAACGTCAGACACAGTGACTAATTGATTTATCCGAACGTAATTTTCGTACAATCTGGAAGCGCGGGGAAAACGGATGAGAATCATCGATAGTACAAAAATATCGAAGAGCATATGTTTAAAACAATAAAAATAAAAAATAAAAAAAAAACTTGAAATAAAAATGTTATTTCGAGGTGTACGAAAAATCGCAGGATGACGAAGCATTGTCCACGAATAACATCCTGCAGCGTTCGCCGTACTGATATTAACCGTGTAATAATAGTACTTATGTTTTAGTTTCAAAAACGTTACCTATTAAGAATTTGTCCACGGCACGTGTGCGCATGGAGACCTATGGTTAGATGATAAGCATTTTATACAGCACTTATCCGATTTTCTCAGATAGGATTCAAAATAAAACAATAATCCTGATGAAATAAAATTGCGTATCGAATCTATTGGTTGGGTTCAGGACATGTTGAATCGATCCGTATTCATAAATATCCGGAATTTTATAATTCGCAAAACATTAATTCGTGTTCAATTTAAATTCTCGATTTCTCTTACACGAATATAATTTTGATTATGAGACTAATTATGGACTACATTTGAACATTCAGTACCAACTATTTTTAAAAAAAAATATTTAATATATTAAATTCAGTTGCTTTAACCCCATAAGATAAAGATTTTGAAACATTACTTTTGAAAATAATAATATTACGTTTAGTTACGTAATGTGAAATAAGTTTGCTGGTAATATTTTTAAATCGAACATCAACTACCTTAATTTTTAGATTGAAACACGGTTTTCTTTCATTTAAACGAATGCTAAGGAATCATTTTTAAACATATTTTATTATAGTATTATTTATTTATTATTTTTTAATTAAACTTATCAAAAGTTATTTTAAAATATACATATACACATAGGATTAAGTAGTGAGATTTTAATAATATAAAATGCATTTTATTCCACCTACTTATTGTGTACAATATTTATATTAACTTTTAAAAAAAAATTAATTTTAGATTAATGAATTTTTTATTATTTTAATTTACTGGTTTTCGAAGTGAATTTATAATTAAATCGATAAAATTGCAAAAGCATAACAATTATTTGAAAAATAATGAATGTAAAATCAAAACGAAAATTTAAAATTTAAAAAAATATACCAAATCCGTGTCACGTACGAGCCGCGGAATAATATATTATTTACAACTGCGTTTGAATCAATAGCTTTTTAAAATCGCACAGTTTTCAAACGGATTTCATACTACGCGAAATATCACAACGAATATAGTATAAAAACTGAGAAAATACTCGACGAACGTCCGGTACGTATAATCGAAGTTTTCTCAAAATTAGAATTTCGTATAAGCGTACAACATGTATTACGCACACAAGAAAACGTAATTATTATACAGCAATGGGTTTTCGAAAATCGCGAACGACGTCCAGAATATATTCATGTGTAACCTAGCAGAACCACGAAACGTTAGATATTATACACTCTGTAGGATTTTTACATAGCTGTTATTAGGAATACGAGTTGATACGTCGAAATTAGCATAAATGGTGTTTTAAAAAGGAAAAAAATTAACGATACCGCTGGTGCCCATTGAGAACATCAAAAAATGTGCCGCCGGTGTGTAGAACTACGCGAAAGGAAGGAGCCGGTAACCGGTAGATAGAGAAAGTCCATCATCTTCCGGGGGTCCAGACCGGTGGCTTCGAAAAGTGACCGAGGAACGTGGTTCGGCGAAGTGGGGGCCCGGTATATATACGTCGGCTACCACGTCCTATCTATCATACAGTTTTTGGGTTTCGGGGCGTCACATCGTGTGCTTTCAGAACCGCCGCAGCTCGCCGTGCTACCGATATACCTATCACACGTCCGACGAACCCGCCAACATCAACCATGAATTCGTTGAGGATATGCGTTTGCTTGTTTCTGACCGTCGGATGGGCCTGGAGCTTGCCCTCCGGCATGGACTCCCAGGCCGTCGGCCACAACTCAATCCAAGCCAAGGAGGACCTGTTGGACGGCATCTACAGCGACTGCATCAACAAGGGATCCGTGTCTTGTATCAAGTACAAGTTGTTCGCTTACGTTGACAAGGCTCTGAACAAGGATGAGATCAACCTGACCGAAGGCGTGACCGTGGTGAGGACGTCCGGCAACCCAGGAGACGGTGCCCCGCGATCGTTGGACGGCGACGACAAGCCCAAGGACATGGAATCGATGGTCGTGAAACGCGTATTGCGTTACTTGAACGAACACTCCATCAAGGTCGACATCAAGGGAGCCGACGTGGTCAACGCCGTATCCAGAACCGGCAAATCCATCACCGACACCGTCAGCCAATTCCTCGGAGAGGAAGAAGACTCCGCCGACGACAGCCGTGGCATGAAGAAGAGTAGTAAGTTCACCACAGTTAGCTATTCTAGTCGTACCGTTAGACATTAATTTTTTCGTTCAAAACTCACCTTTTTCGGACTTGCAATCGAATAACAAAGCACTGTGATTCGTTGTTGTCTTTACCAAGAAAAAAAAAACATTTACGCTATGCCTCACGCGACGATGTTAATGCGGGTTGTATAATCATTTTAATGGCAATTCACCCATTGTTATGATAATCGGTTTAAGCACACTTTCAACGATCAAACACTACTTCTACATGGATCTGAAAAATTTCGCCTAAACGTTTGTGCGTTAAATCAATAATAACATATGAGAAAACACCAGCGATAACAGTATAACAATATTATATTACCTATGACGATTTGTCGCGTTAACATTTTTTCCCCTTCTACCGTAATCATTATCTAATCTAATTACAATCGTTATTCAACTATCGTTTAAAACGTAACTGGATTTCATCTCCTAGAGACATGTATACACGCCTTTAATCCCTCCCGGTCGATCCGATCGACACACCTCAGGCGTCCTAAGAAAAATAACGTACGGTATCCGCTTTCCGCAGTGTTACGCGTCTGACTAGGTAACCCTTTGACCGTTTGCTTCGGGTGCGCGCGCGAATACGTAACGTTATTAATAATCATTACAATATCGCACGGACTATGATATGTGATGTTATAATAACGGTCGAAACAATGCCACGTAATCCGTCAGCCGGTTCGACTAAACGAGTAGCTCGTACGCATTCCACCCGAGACCGGTCGTCTCATCCGTGATCCCCAGTGACCCGGTTACCGAGTTTCAGATTATTATTATTATTATTATTATTATTATCATCATCATCATCATCATTATCGTCGTCGTCGTGTACATTCATAATAGTATATTATACACGTCGGACACGATTACGAAAAAAAAGACAAACATTAACCTTCCTGCGGACACCATTAACACGCCACGAGAAAAAATATAATATTATTACAGGCACGTATATAATATAACATCGTGTAAATAATAATAATAATAATAATAGTATAATATTATGTACCCGCGCGTGTATGGATCGAATACGAAGACGACTTTCTACCGCGCGTCAATCAAATCTCGCGGAGAACCTACTCATCGTTCTTGCGGGAGCACTCCCACGACCGCCGCCGTGTCTCTCTCTTTCCCGGCGAACGAAAAAATCCCGAAAAAAAAATAACCCGTTCGCAGGTACAACACACACACACACACGCACACACTGACACGCCTTACGCTTGATCCGGCTGAAAAGTTTTCACGGGAAATGAACTAGAAAAGATCGTGCAGCACGAAAAACCGGTTTTTAGAAAGTGCCCCCGAGCACCGTGGTCCAGCGCGGTGGACATAGGAATACAAATCGTGTCCGGCGGTCATCGGGCCGTGAATTCGTAATGCGATATCGATGTGCGCGAATTACCATACTCTCTCTCGGCACATACACACACCCACTCACGGCAATCCCTACGCCTGTCTTTGTATCGTATTCGATTACCGATGTTAATCGTCCTCGTTTCCGTTTTCGCAGAGAAGAAGAGCAAGCACATGCTCATGCAACTGTTGATGCTGTTGAAAGTCAAGATGATCGCTCTCCTGCCGTTCATCCTCGGTAAAATCGCCCTGATCGCCGGAAAAGCCTTGTTGTTCGGCAAGATCGCCCTCGTCTTGTCCCTGATCATTCTGCTCCAGAAGATCCTCAGCAAACAGCACGAGAAGACCGTCACCTACGAGGTGGTACCGCAACACCACCACGACGTGCACGGAGGCGGACACGACTCCTACGGAAGCGCTGGCGGTGCCGACATCTCCTCCGGCGGATACGGCGGCGGCGCGTCCTCCGGCGGATGGGGACGTAGCATCGACGCCCAACAGATGGCCTACAGCGGTCAAGCACCTCCTCAGTGAACGCCATACAAACGTGAGTGTCCGAACCCTATCTTCCCTCCCTCTCCCTTATATACGCGACCCTTTCCGTTTGAAGTCGTCCACCCCGATTCGGTATGCATATTTTTCAACGTTTTTTGTTTTTTTTTTTTATCTTTGCAGCAGCAGACCACGAGTATTAATGTATCGCGCTCTCGTGCTGGTGGTGTGCACAGCTCACTAAACAGTCAAACACCTGAGACCCGAATCAAAGTTCAAACGAGCCATCGAACAACATGCGACCCACGTCACGCACACAAACGCTCATTAATATTATTTGTACATTACTCTTATTTATTATTTATATATAATATTTATATTGATATTTCAACGCTGTTTGAAACGTTCTTACTATATTTTGATGTTTTCGAAAAAAAAAAAACAAACCGTGTTCGTTTATTTCACACACCATTAATATTACTACCTCAACCCCGGTACCGGTCGAGAAGCGCCGCCGAGAATGGCAACAGAACGGTGCAACAGAGTTTGCCGATTCCGTTCGTCCTCGGAGTCGGTGCAGCAGTACGACAACAATAATGTTAATGTCGCAGTCGTGTCTGTGCGCGTAGTGTTGTTCGGCCGTCGTAAAACGCGACACGTCGAACTGCGTGTACAGGAAATAAAATGGAAACCCTATACCGTTTACGGTTTGGTTTTCTATCGTCCGCGTTGTTCAGACGAAATCGGATGACACTCTTTTCTCTTTTTTCTTTTTTTTTTTTAATTACCAAGTCGTCGTAAATATCGTGAACGGTCGTCATTAGATAAACATTTGTTCGGCGCACCGAACAATAAATAATACATTAAAATAATAGCGGCGTAATATAATAATAATTATGTCTGCAGTAATAACAATAACGATAATGGGTATATCGTGTCCGCAGCACTGCGTCGAACGATGACGGTGCGCGTTCATAACGCGAACGTATTACATTTAACGCGACTTTAAACGTTCAACCGTGTACCATTTAAAACAATAAGCACGCGCGTTTTTCCGAAACCGTTTGAAACGGTTTTACACCAGCGGCGGATCCATGATTTTCTTTTGGGGAGGGTTTTGAAAAAGGTTTTCCCTAGGGATATTTTTATAACATTGCAGACAGTGACAGATAATGAATTAGGATAGTAGTAAGTTGTATAATACATTAATTTAAATCTAAGACTCGTAATTTCTTGTGTAAATAAAAATACAAATCATATACTTTCCCTCATGCTTAAAAAAAAAAAAATGTTCATAATTCATAAAATTATTGATTTTTGATATAAATTTTTCCTGATTTTGAGGGGGTTTTAGCCCCCCCCCCCCTCTCGCTCTGAATCGGCCATCGCGTTACACACACCGTTTCGATACGTCATTAATGTATTACTCGCCGTTTTCCGCCGACCGGACGCGACCGAAACGGACGGGTATCGCATGGCGTTGAATAAAACGTACACAATTTATACCGCGTACGTCTGCGATACCGCAACAATAACGATAACACAACTCGTTTCGGGCCCGACCCGATAATTATTAAAAGGAAATTTGTAGGTCAACGAGCGTCGTTCCCAGCGCACGGTCGAACTTGTTCAAATTAATATTTATGTGTGTATGTAATTTTTTTTTTTTTTTTTTGACTTAACGGTACCTATTAAACACGCGCGTACACACCCGTACGCGACGACCAGTCGTGTATATCTTTATTATTATTATCGCGTTATTAGAAATGGTAAACGTGTAAAATGCGTCGAATCGAGTCGGACACGCGTATAAGGCCGATCTCACACTAGATCCGACTACGTGCGACTATCGATTATGTACGATAACGGACGACTAGGTCCGGTCTCACACTCGGAACGACTACGTACGACCGCGCAAACGGCGTACGGTCTACGGGAAGAAATCGGAGACTGTTGGGACCAAGTCGCAGGTCGGAGCTAAACGCACGTGATCGCACGACAAAATCGGGTAGAATGTGTGAGCGCTAACTACATTATCAAGGCCGGGAAAGTTCGTGCGTAGTCGTCCGACTACGTACGACCAAAAGTCGCGCATGGTCGGATCTAGTGTGAGATCGGCCTTAGTTTCGCGTGGTAACATTAAAATAATAATACGATCGTCGGACGTCGTAGAGCACCGCCGCCAGTGGTTTTCCGTTTTTTCGTTTTAATTTCTATTTTTTAACTCGGCGCGCCGCGACCTTCGCAAGATTTTCCCGTCACGCCTTTGGCCGTTTCAACGACGTTTTACATCCCTCCCCCCCCCCCGGTTCGACGTATTGCCCGTTGCACAGCGGACACAACCGGTGACAAACGGTACGATAGCAATAATCGTTTTTGGCGTACGACGAAAACGGTGTCGACGAGGCAGTGGCGCAGGAAGACTAGCTAACGCCCCTGGCAAACTTAGAAAAAAACGCTTTTTAACCAATTCAAATTTGACGTTATGATATTTTTTCAACCTTTAATTTTACTAATTTTTTTTAAGTATACAATTTATATTTATAAGTAATTATTACGGTGTTAATTTTAAACTTTGAAAATTCGCTTTTCTTGCTTTATGACTGGCAAGCTCATCGATAATTTCTTCATATGAAAATTTTTGTTTAAATGCCCTCGTGCCATTTTTATAATTTCATCATTAAAAGTCACACGTAGCGTGTTCGAAAAGCCAACATTTACGTATTTAAAAAAGTATAATGGAAAAATTTCGATTTGATAGTAGGATAAAAATGCAACTTTTGCACAATTATGAGTCCCATTGCAATTCGCGCTCCTGGCGTGTAGGCACAGTTCGCCATACCCTTACTACGCCACTGCGACGAGGTGATAAACGTGCGACAACGTTACCGGCGAACAGCGATAGAAACCGCCTTTGCAAGTCCGCCGTGGAGTTTTAGGACGATCGCGGCAGGACGAAAAACCCCCTGTCGAACACTTTCACGATTTTCACCGTGCAGCAGTACACGCTCGCTCGGACCGTGTGGCAATGTAATTTCTCGTGCGCACATCGTTGTTTTACAACGTATTCATTCGTTCGTGCGACGTATTTGCTTTCCCATGCAACGACCGGTCCGGTGTTGCACCCGGATAAATATTTTGTTTTTGTCAAGATAAATGTATAAAAATAGTGCATCAAAAATCTGTTTGGATAAATATGAAAATAAGTTAAATAAATAAAATCCATCGGTTGCAAATAAAAAATGTATGTGAACATTTCGATTTTTTAAGTCGATGGAAAACTTTTTAAAAGGAATTACTTGAAATATATGATTTTATAAAATGAATGTATTATAATTGATCGTATGAATAATATGTATTTATTTTGTTCATGGATAAAATAATCTCATCCAAACTTATGAAATAATTATTATTTCATATATGTACCCGAAACTGTGCGTCTGATTTTCTTTGCGCTCAATTTTTGTCTTTCGCTCAATTGTCCATGATCCATTACCGTAAGATCTGCTCTGAGGGTTTTTTGTTTCGTACAGAATCTTTGGCGAAAAGTTCTTAAACCACTAATCAACAAGTACGTGCTAGTCGTTCAACCAACTACTGTCCAAAATAAGCTGTTACGAATCATAAAGGTAATTAACTAATGGATCCATAAATGCCTGCGCGGTTACGCAGCATCTATGCGATCAATGAAAACGATAAACCCGTGCGGTGGACGTGCAAAAAACGAATATCGCACAGACGTCTGCGCAGAAGTTATTACGATATTAGTGTTGCGATTATTGCTGGCTCGAATGAAACGTATTACATCACGTGAACCGAACGAAACAAAACGAAAAACATTAACAATTGGTAATTAGCAATTAACGTTGCACCGGCGATCGATCCTGTATTCTGTCCGTCGGTACGCGTTCGATCACGACCAAGAAAAAAAAAAAATCAAAAAACCGAACAAGAAAATCTTTTTGCGCAATGGATTTCCAAAAATTCGTATTGTACGTGCATGGCGTGGTAATGGCCGTCTGCGCGTTAATCTTCTGGTGCCTGCGCAGGGTCGTTGCGCGCCCGTCAATCGCGACGGATACCATACCCGAGGTCGATACCCATCTGTGTGACCCTTTGTCTCGCGTGTCCTTATTGAAAAAATTGCTTGTTTACGATTGCAGGCGACCGTCGACGGCCAGGGATCGATGTTGCTGTGCTCGGACGCAACTCGACAACCGGTGGCCGACCTCGACGACGACGAACCACGATCGTCCGCTGAAGGACACGGCCGATTGTATGACCCAGATGATTTAAATTTCGCAGCGGGTGATTAAATCGACGCGCGAAACGCTTCTTAAACGTTCCGTTTTCGACGACGGTAATCTGTAAGGAAACGACGTACGGCATTAAAATTTTATTTCGGTTTCAGTTCAAACGCGAGTCTGCGACATTTTATATCTGATGGACGAAAGATACTGCGCAAAGTGCGAGCACATGAAAAGTAAACGTTTACTGTACAATGTAACACTAATACAATCGAGTAATCTATCTTTGCGTATTATTATTACCGTGCAGTGGACATAAAGCTGTCGAAAACTGACGAAGAGCAAAAAGCTATTGCGAATAGAAACGAATTCCTGAAAAAACACATAAAACTGCTGGAAAGTAATACATATCACGTTCCTATTGTTCTAATAAGTTTCAAATCGTTTGGATTTACACGGTAAAATGTTACATTTTTTTTCTTCTTATGATTAGAAACATTTCATCGAGAACGAATGAAATATGAGACTTTCCAAATGGCAGTTATAGGTATTATGTTTTTTTTATCGTAACTAATGTAAAGTCTAATATATCGAACAACGTATCGATGTAATGCACGCCGTTAGGGCGCAGGATACATGGCCGCAAAAAAAAAAACTTATTATTTTATTCCAGAATTACGTAGGTAAATCATACACGAGTATATGGACATTGGATTGAATTTTTTTCGTTACACATTGATTATTCGTAGACATATAAGTTTTTTAATCCATCGGCATACCGTTTAATGCATCTACTTATATATTGTTGTAATATTAAAAATAAAGTGTAGTAATGATATGGTTAGGTACTGATCGATATTTGATGTTATCGGATGATCGTTATTGTTTATAATCAGGGCTTGAAATCGAAATAAAAAATTTCGATTTTAATTTCAATTTTGATTATTGATATTAGTTTTTTTTTAATTTCGATTGTGGTTTCAAATATTGATATTTATTTTTTGAAATTTCGTTTTTGATTTCGAATATCGATATTCATTTTTTTCAATTTCGGTTTCAGAAATCGGTATTTATTTTTTTTCGATTTTGGGTTCACAACAGAATACTATCCATAAATTAAAATAATTTCTTAAATTTTAGTACATCATCAGCGTAATAGTGTTGTAAGCTGTAGCGACTGCAAAAGTACAAAATAAAACTATTTTAGGTTATTTAATTCTACATTATTGATTAAAATATAACTCAAGGGTGACAGCCAATACAGTATTAAAAATTAATATCATATCCATAATAATACACTATATATATAGTATATTATATGGAAAAAATTGTGTGTATAAAAATAACAATCGCTCGTCGAACGTTGATTCTTTATCGTAAATAAAAAAAAAAAATAGGTACTTACTATTTATTATTATGTATAATCAATATTATTAACAAATATGGCAATATATACGAATTGACAATATAAATATATCTATTGGCTGTTATAAATTATAAATTAATTTGATTTAAAACCGTTTTAATTATTAAAATGATTTTGATTTTGATATAAAATTTCGATTTTAACTTTTTTTTCAATTTCAATATACATTTTGAAAATCATTATCAACCATTAACGATTTTGATATTGATTTTCTAAAAGATTTTTAACGATTTTTATCGATATCTAAAATCGATTTTATAATAGATTTCAAGCCCTGTTAATAATCGATGTTTGCCATTTTGTAATTTATCTGATCTAATAATAACTGAACGGTTTATTCTAACAGTCTAACCTAGTTGTCCTTATTATTAGTATACCATACGTTTTACTATAAACTTGAATATGTGTAGTAAATTAAATCGAAAAATAATAAATCATTCGTAATTGTCTGTCTTAATAACTAAAAAAGTAAAATAATTTAAAATCGCACTGAACCATCCTGCTTCCAAGTGGCCCGAACGTGACGAATCCGAGAATCGGTCTACCACTAATGTGAATTCAGCACTAAATAACAGTATGCTGTTGCGATTTTTAGGCGTGTTTAAACGCATGGAAGAATTAAGCGACAGAAGGCTGTGTATCTTAAGAAAAGAAACCGTACTGATGCAACAACGTATACAGACATTAGAAGGTTTACATAATTATATTGTTGATAGTTTCGAGAAATCGAAAATATTGTGTACCGATCGTTTTTCGTATGCCTGATTCAGCTTCAATCGAATCGTCGACAGTATATGTTCGAAAATTGGAAAATTTAGAGAAAATATTGGTAGCGACCCCGCCGATCGACAGTAATTTTACAAACGAAAGGTTACACGAAAGTATCGTCAACACACAGGGAACCGTGGGCATGCTTGTGGCTAACATGAAGTCGTTAACGCAGACTCTCGGACAGAAGAGTAGGGAAATCGCTGGTTTGAAATCCGAACTGGCCATAGTGAAACGTAAATCGGATCCGTATAATAAGACGATAGTGCAGCGTACAGTCGCGCCAACAGAAATTTAACGAGAGCCATTCGACTTTTATAGGCAATTATCGGAACAACGATGTCCAGAAGGACGATTTGAACACGATGGGAACGGACATCAAAAAGTTCGAAAACCGCGTGAAAAATGATCTCCAACGTCTGGAAGTACGGTTGACGACTGGTAAAAATAAGCTAAAACAATAATAAATGTATTAAGTATAATCTAAACGTTCTTTATACATGTAGAAAGTGTGCGATGCAGAGACGTGGAAATTGAAAATACGAACGAGTTGATCCGCAAGTACGAACAGCTGAACATGCGTCTGACTATGGTCGAAAGTATGATCCGATGATATTTTTATTTTTGTCGATTCCGTATTCTTATACTTATTATTATTTTTTTTTTTTTTTATTTGCCACGTTTTATTTTTTTCTCCGGTTTCATCAGAAAATATGAATAACGGTTCGTTGCTTGGAACGCATAGTGTGATGAACACCGATGAAGACAAAAATAACCAGGCTGCTAAAGCACTTCCTGCGCCACTAGTCAGTCCTGCACCATTAACGACTTCTACTTCATCGGAGACTCCTGTGGAGCCACCACGCGTAGTACCTAAGTCTCCTGCACCGCTACCACTACCAACGGTTTCGGTGTTTTCACCTCCTTCACCGTTAAATGCCTCTCGAAGACCGGACGAGGAATTTGAAGCGGTGTTAACGATGGAAATGTTTAAAAAAAAAAATCTTAAAAAACCCGAAGGAATACCAAAAAAGGTTTTTAAACTACCTGCTAGTGTTTCAAAAAATGATATTTAAATCGAACTAAATAAATGAATCGATTATTTTAAATAATTGTTATTATTATTTATCTTTTTTAAGTACATAAAAAGGAGAAAAAGGAGAAAAAGAAAATCAACCAAATCAAAACACAAATATTATTTGATTTAATCCGTTTGAAACGGAATATATATCATTTATATTGAAAACAAAGGATATTAAATCTTGAAATATTCCGAAATAAAATAAACAAATACATGCTACATTTTAGCTTTCAAGGTCATTTTCAGAATAGATTTTTACGGATGTAGAAATTTATATTTGAATGTACTTGCATGTTAATATTACTTCTACAAATATGTATTCCATCATTAAAAGCCAACGTTTGACCAAATTTAATTTCGCTACACCAAAGAAGTTATTTTCCTTAGGCCCTCAGGTATACCACGTATCATCGGTATATTATAATTAAGCTAGGGTTATAATATATAGGGTTATATATTATAGCAAGTGCAAAATTAATTAACTGTAAATATCAACATTAAATCCTCTTCAAAAATTCACTTGAAATATTATTGGTCGTAGATCGCAGTGTTTGTTTTTTATAAACATATTTATTAATATTAACTGTACAAGTTTGTGTATAATATTATATCAGTACCATCACGTATGTACGGCAAAGGTAGGTTTGGTTCTGCAATTTACTATTTATCACATCTCGTGTACACGTAGAATAAAAATAATTTAAATTTCGAAACGAACCGTTGGCTTGTTTAATGGCAATAACTGTAACGATTTAAAAATATCGCTTCGGATACTTGAATAGTAATAATTTAAATCGAATGACCTGGAAAATAATTATTTATATTTTAAAAGCTATGTGTAATATAATTTAATACTAATGGATATGATGATTATATATTGTAAATTGTAATAGAGTTAATTTGATTCTTAGCTGTTATCGTGTAATTAAAAATGTTTAAATTAATTAATACATTTGTATTTAATTTAATAACACAAATGTGTCATCAAATCCGACGAAGGCAAAGTGGTCTGTACTGCAATTTTAGGTGGACAAATGTATTATTTTAAAATATTTTTAAAAAGCTTGAGAGTATTATTTAATTGTTGTATGCACCTTATCAAATATAAATATAGTACACAATATAATTAATGAACATCCTTCGAAGGACGTGAATTCGAAAATTCCTAAATAAAAAATTCTTCCCAGTCTTGTAAAATTATAATTTTAATTTATATTTATATTTATAATCTGTGTTTAATCCTTTACATGACAAATTTAATAGTAATCGTATAGAGTAAACAGCTAATTAAAGATCTATCGCTTACCCCCCCCCCCCGAATGCATGTTTTATGTCATTTTTAATTTTTAAAGTCGTTTTTAAGGAAAAGCTTGTATCATTAAAGACCAATAATCGTAGTATAAAAATAAGATTAATGTATCTATTTGGATAGGATACGAAGTTATGTTACTTACGATACTAATTCGATGTTTAAATTTTACTCATAAGGATATAATACTAAGAAGTACACTATTAACTGTAGTAGCATATAAAATACAGCTTTATGTATTCTAGCTTCGTTTCTTATTCGTTATTTGTGTACTAAAAATGTTATGTTAAGACCAAGCTGATTTTGCATGATCTTGGATTATTATAAACGACTAGAAACACACGAATAATAATATTGACTGCGAAATATTTTGATCGGCTCTGAATAATTTATTGTCCGTTTTCGTGGAAAAAAAAAGTGTTTCTTTTGTTCATTTTTTAATTAGGACGAAAAATGTATAAATTTTCTCAAAAGCGGGCGCAATGATAAGAAATAATAACTTTTATAAAAATCAATTATTAACGTTTTGGATAAAATACAGTTTGATATCATGTCCAGAAATATAATGAACTTTATTAATTGTATTTAATTACACTCATCAGTTATCATAACGTATAACGTGTTGAATTTAATACTTGATATTCCAAACGGTAATATAAATAAAATTTTATAAGCTGCGTCAATACAAAGAGAACGTGATCGATTTAATTACGTTCTTATCGTTTATGAATTATATGTGACAATATAATAAAATATATTTTGAATGTTCTCCGATAGAAAATAAGGCGTCATTCAATACAATACATGTTACACATGAACACGTTTTTATATCAATCTTATTGAACTCAAGGATCAAACAGTACTGTACATTGTAATGAATATTCGAAGATGAATAATGTGACACTGAATTTATGTGAATAATTAAATTAATGACAAACATTACAAATACGGTATTTTACAACTAAATGAATGCTAGCAAGTTCATTTATACTTACATTTTACCGATTAAGTATATTTTAAAATATATATGACACCATTGTTTAGAAATATCCTCCTCAAAATATCTTAATTTAGTATTCATTAAAATGTCAGTAAAATTTCTTTTCAAAATTAATACATTGTGAAACGGTATAGGATAAAATAATCCACTAAAGTATTTAGAATAAAAAGTTCAGAAGAGGAAATAGAACGAAAAACCGAACTATAGTAATTTGATTAGCAATGTATTTATAAACGTAAATAATTTGTAAAATTTTTATTGTATATAAATCATGTATAGCTTATAATCATTTGCGAACATTTGAATGTTTTTATCGAATTTGCGTAGTGATAAAAACAATAATTAAAAATCGAATATTATCTAGGGCTGGTAAGTCGAATAAAATGTTGAAAGACGAGTTTATAAGTAATTCGAAAACGAACCATGCTACCCGTATTCGTAATCAGTGGCGTGATGAAGTGTGATGTAATGCAAAAGAAATGTTTTTCTAGGTTTCAAAGAAACAACAGTGGCGACAAGGAAATCGTTATCGAAGGCGAAACTAAGTAGATGTGTGTTACGTTTGCCGTGTAGGACTTTCGTTTGCCTACACTCGCTCCGTATTGCCCGTGACTTAGCGAACTGCACGCTTAGAAGTATACACAAAATATAGAATTATTCTAATACCATACAACTTCCCTCCGTTATAGTAGACGAATGATCTATTTATTAATATAATTTTCCGAGTGTTTTCAGTTTTTTCAGCATTGGTACAATGCATGTGCATTGAACACTTTCGCGTACCACTTGGAACACTTTTCATTGATTTGTCATCATTTATTGATATAAACGGATTTTAATATCCGAGTTTTGAGTTTAGCATTTCAAAATTTTGTATTCTAATTAAAAAATCAATTTATCAAAAAATATGTGTGCCTATCTAAACTTCATTACAAGTCATACATAAGAGAATACCGATTCAGTCTTTCCAATAGTTTTCCAATTTCCATAGTTCGAAAACTTTCGTAAGTTCGAAAATCCGGATTATTCCCATCACCAATTCGGGCCACGCGAATCGAAATGTTTTGCATTTTATTTTTCCATCCTAGTATTTTCCTCGTAGATGGTGCTGTTCAAAGTAGGCGACCTTGTGTGTGGCGCAGAGTTGATAAAAAACATGGTTTTTATAAAAAAAAAAATAGTTTTAATCGATTAAAACATGTTTATTCGAATTATTTTTTTTTAACCGTTTTAAAGATGTTCAAAACACATTTTAAACAAAATAAAATTATTGGTATAGGTTTATTTATGATATAATATATGAACTTAAAGGAGTTAATATTAAATATATAAGTAATGAGCTTCGTGCTATGACAAATAATTAATAAGTAATAATATTAATCATTAAAAGGATTAATGTATAAATACTAAATAGTAAAAAATGTAACAAAATAAGTATGTACTATGTTTGGAATGTAACTAAATTATAGAATTAAAATAAGTATTGAAAACTAATACAGGTGTACGTTGAGGTTTTTTTTATAGTAGTGACTACTGTAGACTTGATGCTGACTATCATTTATTAGTTATTAGTCGTTAGATATATTTTAATACTATAGAAATTAATAGAATCATTTATTTACTAATAAATATTAATAAAATACATAATATTAAGTATTATATTCTAGTCTCCATTCATTATAATAATATTGTTTTATTATTATTGAGATAATAAGTGTTAGGATGTGATAAATTTCGTGTTTCTGCGTTTCCTATTTTTCAAAAGGTCTAATAATTAACTAAAAATTAAAATATTGAAGTGTTTCGTAGTTGAAAAAATGTATACATCATGCTATATATAATATACTCGTATACATAATGATAATATATTCTGTGGTTATTCTATTTACAGCTGTTTAATTACTGAACAATAAAAAATCAAACAATTAATTATTTACTGCGGAAAATTTAATAAAATTTGTAGATGGTAGATGATAGGCCAAATATTATGTTTTTTTCCGTTTAAAATAACGGTTTTTTTTTTCTTTACATAAATTTAATGGCTTACACGATTCAAACAAAACCACATTTGATTAAATTTAATGATTAAAACGTGTTTTAAACTTCTGTTTACAACAAAACGTTTTAAACATCTCAACTCTGGTGCAGCCGTTATTTGTTTGCCATAAATCAGGCGAAACGAACACGGGTGTGCAACTTATTTGTATCGCGTTATTCGTTTGCCTACACTCGCTCCGCGTCGTGACCACTCGTGCACTGCACGTTTGGAAGTGGACACGATACAAGTTAAGGATGGCACGTTGTTTTCCAATGATGCATTATTACTATTATTGTTATCGCGAAGCTTCCGGCGTACATCAGACGACGTCAACAAATCGGTACGCCGGAGGGTCAACAGTTAAGCGAGTAAATTTTTATTGACTGACGTTTTGTTGTATTTGACATCGAATATACGTTGTGGTTACGTTTATATTGTAATTCCAAAATCGTTGCGTGCAAAAATACTCTAGGTATACTATCTTACCGACCCGAACTACACGAGGGTCACGTTGCGTTCAGCCAACTGAAACGTAAATGCGACAAGTACAACGATCAGATCTCGACTGAACTACGACCTTTTCCCAAATTTCTTGTATTTTTCGTATTACATCGTTGTTAATTTATCCTGAAAAAAAAAAATCCCGAAG